CCTTTCGCGTTGATAAGCTCTCACATGACATACTTGTAATTAATTCTTCCAATTATAACTCCTATGTTGTTACAAATTTTTCTCAACAATTGTTCAAACTAATATTTAGGAATGCATGCAAGCCAATCATAGCAACAACAGATAAATAAAACTAGTAACAGTAAAAACTGATTGCTGCCAATAAACAGCATGGACAGATAGATTGCTAATGGTCAAATTTATTAGTACTATTGTTTGGTAATATTTAGTATTCTTGATTTCATAACAATATGATCTGTATTATCAATTCTGTGAATTTATATACGTTTGGGTTGTTTTATAGATTTATCTTTGTTGTTTGTATTGTTCTTTATGATAGATATACCTCACATGCAAGTTAAAGCTAAATTTGTGGTGTTCAAACTGAATTCTTATTCCAAGTTTCCTTAGCCAGGTATACTAAAAATAAAGAAGAATAAAAACTCGATTTATTTTCTGATGTTTATTTTTAAGCTATATGTGAAACCTACACAACTTTACTAGCACAGAGAATGCTGTTCAGATACTTTATTGGGAATATGATAATCTAATGTTTCAAGATGGACCTTCTAGTATATCTTCAAAATGCATCAAGTGAAGGAAATTAGTCCAAAACACATTGTGCATGTGAGGTATTGCCTTGCTATGCAACACAGTTTGTTACCATGAGGTAAACAAAGCATATGTTCATAGTACCTTCTTAGCCATGTTCAAGCATGCCACTCTCAAAGTTAGAGTTTCCATGTAATAAATATTATCAATTTCTTTATAGTGTACATAAATATGTCAACCTCTTCTGCATAATGAAATCATCGTGATTATATTAGTTTCTTTTTTACTTTACATATGGTGGGAAAGCTACCACTCTTACCACTGAATCCTTATTGGAAATGTCCTATTCTTCACAGCATCAGGTCAAGTAACTTGAGGCAAGTTACAGCCACATTGTCTAATTAGTAATATACTACTGAAAAATGACACATATTTATTAAGTAAGTCAAAAAAAAAAAAACTGCCAAGAAGTGTATAAAACGGCACCTCTTGAGACCTAATACAACTTGGGAAATAACAATTGCAATTACTTAAAATATGATGAAAATCCCAAGACTTATTTACTATTAGGATTTCAGTATACAGAAATATTCATAACTACGTAATGATTTGTATTCTAAAACCACTCGCTAAGTTACCTGCTAATCTTCGTATTAATAACATTTCTATAATACAGTAGACATTCTGTGAACTGAGAAGTATACAACTCATCTGTATTTCATAAACTGTGTAAGTTCAGTTTAGAGAATATGAAACTTTAGTATAGCTAACTTCTGTTGTACATAAGTTTATGTGGAGATTTCTACAGTGACAATATTTAGAAGATAGTCTCAACACATGTGACTGGAGATTAATAACATAAAACTATAAATACATGTGCAAAATCATTACACAGTTGGTATGATAATGTGTAAAAAATAACTTTTTACATTTATAGTTCATTATATGTTGCAATTTACAATATTTTTTTTGCATTTTTGACTGAGAACTGAAAAATTAGTAGTCCCATAGCTGGTTTGTCTGTCTGGATAGGCATTTGATAGTTGTGTATGACCTTGGAAGGTCAGGTTCTATTCAGACTTAATCCTCCCCAATAGTCTCATAACAAAGTGTTTCAGCCTGATTTCAAATCAATGTTTGACGAGTAGCTCAACAAATAAAATGAAAACCTGACTGCCATAATAATAGGTGTCTCATGCTTCTCCTCAGCAGCCAAAGGAATGTTCCAGGAAACACTATGCAGTGTTTGATGAAACAGTTATAAATTTGTCTTATTCCAAAGTTCTAAGTAATAAATACATAATAGTTTCTAGAGGAAGCCCAGCCGATTTTACTAACACTAGTCACGTTCGAAACAGAATGAAAGTTGGAAAAGTTTCAATTTTACATGTTTATATCATTTGCCTCAAAAATAAAACTAATATTCGTAATATTACAGTGAAATAGCTGTGTAATATAAAATATATTTATAAACTCATTTCATAATGCATTTCTTTCATATTTAGGGTGGATTGGCCCACCAGGCAATTGATGCATTCTTGTTTAGCTAGTATGCAGCATGTGAAAAATTACTGGGGTGCTAATAGTGATATTGCCCGGGCTGGTCCTTTAAAATACCAATCAGCTCCTATCCGTATTCTTTATTCCAAATTTTATGCGGTTGAACTTCGTAAAAAATATCGAAATAAACAACATAGCTATATTATCGTAAACTCCGATAAAATATTTGTAATGTAAAGGTTTATTCATAATATAAATGCATAAAAAACTCGCACACAATAATAAATGCAGATCACAATACCAATTATACCTATATATCTCAAATACAAAACATATGCCAAATATCTTTGAAATTCATGGTTAGCATGGTTATCTTTGTGAGAGATAACACTTTGGACCACTTTTGTTTCTGAAGAAGATCAAAGATCCACAAAAAATTTACCGAAACATATGATCTCACAGAAACCTTTTCGAAGGCTATTCATTATAACTTCATTTTACCATATATTAAAACGTACATAATCCCGGCTAATGTATATACTATATTCATATTTATCATAATACTTGAAAGTGTTCATTTTATTTTCCATTAATTATCCTTTTCCTGACTTCCACTTTACTATTACTTTCAAGAACAAAAGTTTGGTTCTCGTTAAACCATGTTTCTGGTCATTCTTGGGTCTGTTATTTCTGACATTAGTGCCTAAAAATAAAACTGATCCAGTTTAGGGAGCATCTTCTAACAGTGAAAGAATTGCATTTTTAGACCTGATACGCTACAATATGACAGTTTTTATTAGTGATGGTAACTTCAAGTAATCGGGATTTAAGTACTATATATATATATATATTAAAATTGTCCAATATTCGACCTCTAATTACATTCTTTTATCTTGTTATTTTTTATTGTGCCTAACTGCCATACAATAATTATATTATTTGGAAATGAAGTTTTTAGCAAATATAAATGTAAAAATGTGCTTCTTTTTGTGCAAAATAGCGTGATTAAGAAAAATCACATAAGTGTGTCTATCTTAGCAGTATTTTATAAAGAATGTGTACGTACTGCCAAGATTTGTGCAAAATAGCGTGATTAAGAAAATCACACAAGTGTGTCTATCTTGGCACTATGTATAAAGAATGTGTATGTACTAACATGTAAATAGAAAATGCCATGTAAAGTAATTTGCAATAGACGCATATACTGTTTAAAGTTCTAACTCCTCATAATACAATGTCAGAAAGCGACCTTTTTTTTGGGGGGACATGTTTCATTTATTACGCAGGGTCTGAGTATACAGTTTATTTACTAGTATAAGAAATGTGTAGAATATCAGGAACAATTTTGGTAAATAGCAAAAAAAAATGATGACACAATCAGTGAGAGCTTCTTATATTGAGTTGTCTGTGTTACTAAGTAAGTTTCACACTTCACTGTGATACTTGTCAGTGACCAATCAAAATGGACAACACCTTAGCAGTGGAGAAGGACCCATGGGTGGTGGTAAGAAGTGGCAAGTGACATTACATGATGCCGACAGTTGAAATTCATATAAACAAACCTTATAACAGCAACAAAATAATTATCCATGCTATTTTTTTCACAACAACTTACTCTTTACTTATTTGATTCATTGCGGCTCTAAGATAAGAAGGAGACTGTACAATAATTATAAATAATTCTTCAAATTATGCTTATAATAAAATGTTTTCCCAATTGTCTATTATGGATTTCCTATTATTCAACCATTTGTTCCCTGTGTGGTGTAATCATCAGTTCCTGTCCATGGGCTGGTTATCTTGTAATTCTTTCTTGTTTAGCCCCTGATTGCTGTACCCCATTTTATTCATGTTAGTAGTCATTTACAACAAATTATTTGTTTATTATTAATAATAAAGATGCTTAATGGGCTATCCGTGCTGTGCTAAACGTGGGTATCTAAATCTGATTTTTAGCATAATGACTACTGAGGCTTACCGTTGAGCCATCGGGGGCTGCAACAAAGAACTTTTTTGAAATTTATTCTCATTCTAGAAATTCATTCTTCATTAAAAATTTCACTAGTAATGATGTAACTTAGTTGGAATTTTTTCTTTGTTTTTTTTTAATGAAATTGTTAGACTCGTAGTCACTATTACCAAACTTGTATTAGGATAATATTTATGGAAATCTGAGATTATATTTGTGAATATATACAAGATCGTATACTTCAAATTCATTATGTTTAGATTTACTATATAAATTTTAACATTTTCACATATACATATAAAATAAATATATTTCATTTCAGAAGACAGTACAATGTATTCCATGACACGTAAAGTTATGAACTGGAAATAATGTTCACCTTCACTTGAGTGGGAACCCTACACGACAAAAAGTAAATTGACTGGTTGTGTCGATTAATTACACATGTACAACTAGGGCCCTCTTTTTGGAAATACCAGTACTTTAAAACAATAGAATTATTTAATTCTTATTTTTTTGACAGAATATATATTTAAAAAATACCAATTTAATCATAAATTTTCTTTTATGAAGCACTTCAAATTGACCAAATTACTATAAAACATATTTCGTTTTTTTTAATGACGTTTTAAATTCAATTTTTTCATATTTTTTATTCTAATTTTTTTAGACAGTGTCAACAAATATTTTACTGATCAAATTATAGAAGTGCCCAACAGAATTAAGCAGCAAAAATTACAAAGTTAACAATCAGTTCACTATTTAAGGATCCATTACAATAAAAGTAAAAATCATACAAGAGTTATTTCTTGTCTTGTTTGTAGCTTATACTTGTAAGAGTCAATGTTAAAACTTTTAGATATCTATGTTGAATATCAGCAAAGCAATGTTGGAAATACTTTGCTCAAGTATAAGGCTGGAAACATTCAGTTAAACCTTAATAGAATAAATTAAAACATACCCTAGGGTCCCAAACTACAAAACTCAATTTATTTTCTTCAGGTTGCTTTAATAACACTGGTTTTGGCCAAGGCCTGAAAGAAAAAACAAAACTCCAATACATGCTTCTGTTGTTGAGTGCAAGAGAAATCCTATTTCACTTGCAGGTTTTTATTAACAGACACTTCATGTAAGAGTCAAACAAATTAATGAAAAACAGTTTTAACTGAAAATCCTTGAATTACACATTTACCCTTAAAGATTGTGTACTTAAAAGTTAACATGTTCAAGAATTTCATCATGACAAATCTTAAACTTCAGAGTCATCACTGTCAGGAGTTAGTCTAACAAATATAGCTATTATGCATTAATAAATCTTGATTCACCAGCTCATATGTTACCATATTTGCCCAAATATAATGCACACTTATTTACCTTCAAGTACCTCCTGAAAAATTGACTGTGCATTATATTCATGTATGTTTAATTTTGTTAAGTATTTTCCTAGAAGCTACCACCAGAATGTTTAAAGCATCATTAAAGGTTTATAAAAATGTTGCATATCTGATGGGATGGATGATGACATGCTGTGGGAATCAAAAGAGGATGAAACAATGGTTCAAAGAAGCAAATCTAATGAATGCAATGAATCCGAAAATGGTGACAATTCTATCGATGATGAAGATTTACGTGAAGATGAACGATTAGCTTAGTGTATTACCACGTATAAACTTTTAAATGAAAGATTTCCAAAAATGTTTAATACATCAGTATTTGTTTACTGTATTTACAAACCATTCAATACATTTTGTACAACTGATGTATAAAAAAACACATTTTTCTTCAATTTAACCGGGCAAATATGGTATATGTCTTTAAACTTGATGTCTTAAAAACGACTGATGAGAAAACACCATTTCTGTTAAGAATTTGTATATTTTATCCCAATCAATCTGGTAAATTTTGTAACTGAAAAAAAGTCTCATCACTAGAGACGTATAACAAATAGTGTAATTAAAATGCAATCATGTACTTTTCTTATTGGAAACCTGTCATTCACTAGTAATAAATGATATGAAAATTATTTCATTGTTAACATAATGTAACATCACACATTAACAATTAACAGATAATGCTCCAATATCTCTGGTGTTATACACAGAAATGCTTCAACTTTCACAGAATTATCCAGCTGTATCAACCTTAATAACAGTGCAATTTTTTAAATTTTCAGAAAAATGAACAAATCATACACATTATACAATGTTAATTTTTCAAATAACTTGTTTAATATCTTAGGTACTTTAACATTAAAATTTCCATTATTTCATTTAAAGTTATCTAGTTTAAACAAGTCTTCAAGTATGCAAAAACAATGGTAGATTGAAACTTAAGACTAGATTATTAGTGATTTTTAAGTTATTGTTGTTTACATATGAAAAGAAAGAAAAGACTGACCACTGAGAAAACACCAAAAAGAACTTGTTAACCAGTGTAGCAGCTGCTGCATTTGGGTAAAGCTGACATGTCCTGGCAACAAGCATGGCCCAAGATACTCCACCTAGGTACCCTAAAACGTTGGAGTATACACCATGACCTAGCAAGAAACAAAGTTAATCATTCTCACTATGCAGGTTTCAGCTGTTTTATGTTAGAAAATGTCTCTTGTTAAAGACATTATTTTTAATAACTGAATGTATACAGGGTTAATTTATATGAAGCAGGCCAATGTTTGAAATCATTTGGTATTCTCTTTTGATAGGCTTTTAACAAGCATGACAAGTCTTAAGTAAAGAAAAAAATCATACTTTAAATTGAGTGTTTTTACCAAAGATTTGTCCATGAATATATTGAATCAGAGTGCATGGTGAATTTCATGTTAAGATTAAGAATACTACATAACCTCCAAAATATTCTAAATGAATATCAAACGTTTTTCCTCAGTAAAGCTTTATATTTTATCTGTTATTTTCTAAATCTAAATTACCCTTTTTTTCTTTCTACAATTAATGCAGATTGTAACAGAAAACTACAATTATTTACCCTAAACAGCTTAAGGCTAATAAAGTTTACATGTTTCTACATAATTTTATTGTTTTATTGCCCTTTGAACCATACGTAATTAATAATTTCACTATACAAGCTATAAATCACACAGCAATCATGTAGCTCAAGTTACCATATTGAATGAAGTAATGTACGAGCTACTCATGTGAAGAAACATTTTAATTATTATTTTTCATTTTCTTATCTAATCTAACCTAAAAAACTTTCTAATTTTTACATTTAGTTACTTTTTTTAACAATAAATAAAAAACATACATAAAAAACAAGATATTTAATACTTACATCTAGCCTCTTTGTTTTTTGCTGGCAGCCCTTAAGTAAAACTTAAGCCTACTTTTTTGTAATGATGGTACTATTACACTAAATAATTTTTATTTATTTCAAATATGCACTTAAAATAAATAAAATAACAATAAACACAAAGCAAATGATGTCCTATAATTATTATAAATTTAACTGGCTTTCTAGCTAAGGTATAAGTGTCTTAAAATAATTCCCTTAGCTACTCGATCTGAATTTGGTGGCAGCACCTTTCAATTTGTAGGCTAACTAACCAAAAATTTCAATTCAGTAAAATGTAGTATTATACTTCTTTTGGCAAAATAAAAATTTATCTCTGTTTGTTATAAATAATGTAATAGAAAACATCAGGGAGAATTATTGGTAATTTGTGAAAGGGAATATATGACAGATGAGCGTGGCAAGCAAATTTAACTTTCTACTTTATATCTATGTAAAAAAAGAAGACCGAAAACTACATCAGAGACATGTGATGAAAAACACAAAAAATGGGGAAGTTGAAGCTAACAAATATTGCTATACACATACATAGATATATTTAAGTATTTCCTTTAAAATTAAGAAATTAAAACTTACCAATTAAATTTTGATTAATTAACTATGTTTGATGGAAAGTTTATTAGCATACATTGATAACAAAGCAGTTTAACAAACTTTTGAATGTAATTCTGATAAAGATTTTGAAATTCTCTCTTTGACCTACCTACAGCAAGAAGGTTAAGCTTGTCTTGTCACCACTAAAAATGCTTATAAACAAATGTTTTTAAATTTTTAAGTACTTCTATAAATTGCACACTGTTGATACAAAACCTCCACCATTTAAAGCATGAGACTCCTACAAGGTTATCAATCATTTTTATATTTGTAACTTATTTATTATGTACTCACAACTGTGTAAATAGTAACTGTTAAAAAACGACAGCACACCTGAAACAATTCAATACTATTCTTCATCAAAGTTAGGTTTACCATTATCTGAAATATTTTACTTTCTGTAAAAAATTCAAAGGAAAATATAAACAAACAAACAAAATAGAGAAGAGAGCTTAATGCTACAGGTAAAACAGAAAAAATAACCAAGTTCATCTACTTACGTTTGGCCCATAGCTTTATAGCTCTTAAGGCAAGTCTAAAACCTTCAATACTTGGAACAAGGCTAAGAATCTCATCAGTTACTCGGCAACCTGAAAGAGAAAATATCGGTACTCTTAACCACCTCGGTTTAGTTATCTTTAACCAACCTCTAGTACTGGTGCCTTTACCCACTCTCCAGTATTTGTTCCTTTAACCACCCACAATGTAAGCTACAGTAATACTGAGCTAGTTCTGACTATATGTCAATTACTTCTTAAATTATTTACAATTTCAGAAACATGTATGATAAACAGTAAGCATCAGTGTTACTTAATTTTTCCCCCAAATCAAAATTTTGTTGAAAAGTTTTAACATTAATTTACTTTCCATGTTTTTCAAAACTATCTGCTAAAACGACCAACTTCTGTACTCAAACCTAACCACATACTTGAAGAATCTGACTCTTCCAAGTACTAGGAAAAGGTAACTGGATATTAGCAATCAGTGTGTTTGAAGGAAAATAAATTCTGAAATGTTTATCTATGTCCCTTCTTAAATATATTACTTTTTGTTCATCATAATTTTTGTAATCCTTTTTATTGAATGGACATTTTGTGAAAAAATGTGCCAGTTTTGAAAATTAACTGTAAAAATATGTTTCCACTGAGAGTAAGGCCTTACCATTAAGACTTCTGACACATCGAGGATCCAAATTCTTTAAAAGATTTACATCTCGTAGATTTTGATCTTCTGGAATATCCTTCAGTGCCAATCTTGCGAACAGCATGTCCAACTGTAGTAATAAACAGTATCAACTCAATGCTGTCACTATGGACTCAATTGAATTGGCCAAGTTCATGACCACAAATTGATCTTTAAATTTCTCATATGTTTTTGTATCTTCACAAAATTTTGCAAGCTTTCAGTAAGCATTAAGTCTTCTGTAGACAAAATAACATAATTTTTAATGAAGTATTTTCACTAAAAATTTCTCTGTGAATATGTGGAGTCAAACTGTTGACTGCTCCAAGTGCAAAGTGATTTTCATGTTGAGATCAAAAATACTTTTCTGCATCTGAAAATTGTCAAATTTCATTTGTATAACCTCTAAAACTTCCTGAATAAATTTAAAACATTTTTTTCCAGTGAAACTATATTTTATGTGTTATTTTCTACAACCTATCTCTATACAGGGTTGGTCATTTTGGCCAACCTCATAACCACCATAAAAAAAAAGCATAATAAATCTAAATTACCCCTTTTTTTTTTCTTTCTAAAATAACTTCAAATAGTAACATGAAACTACATTTACTTGTCCTAAATAGCTTAAAACTCGTAACAGTATACATCTGTTTATACTTACATTTATTGTTTTATTTCCCTTTGAATTGTATTTAACCAATAATCCCACCACACAAGTTGTAAATCACTTGGTGAATGTGTAGCTCATGTTACCCCATTGAATTACATAAGGCACGGGCTACTCTCAAGCATTTCTCATGAAAAAATAATAATAATGATTTTTTCCCCCTTTATTTTAACTAATTTAACATTATCTAACATAAAAAGTTTGTAATTTTCACATTTGAGTTACTTTTATAACAATGAATAAAGAATTCACATGAAAAACAAGAAATATATTACTTACCTGGATTTTCTTCTTTTTTTTTGCTGTTGATTGTCAATGAAAATTAACCCTCCTTTTTATACTAATGGTATTACTACAACATATAATTTTTATTTAATTAAATAATGTACCTAAGAATACAAAATAATAACATAAAAAGCAGATGACGTCCAACAACTATCACAATTTTTCTGGCTTTCTACTTATGTGATAAGACATTAAAATTCAGCTAAGCTCATCAATGTGATTCCCGTGGGAATAAAATTTGAACTGGAAGTGAAACGGACAATTATCTGTATGTAAAACAACGTAATGTTTACGTTATTTGACAGGTTAAAACTCTAGTTTTCTACTGGTTATAAATAATATAGTATTAAGTATCAGAGAGAACTAGTGCTAATTTGTGAAAGACAGGTTGGAAAATCAGGAGTTGTCTGATTTTTTTAGTTTATGGCTCTGAAACCAAATAAGTTTGAAGGCTATAAAATTATGCTTTACCTGAGTAATAACAATATTATAACAAGTAATTTACATTAAATTCCATACTTCTCAGAAGGGCAGTATATAAATTGAAGAGGGAAACATAAAGAGCAAATATCACAGTTCTCATACTAAATGAGATTGAGGATTTTTCAAAGTATTTCTTTATAGAATTAAGAATTTAAACTTCTATCATATTAAAATATGGATTACTAGCTACAATTTGATGTCAAGTTTATTCGTACACCATGATGATAAAGTAATTTAATGAAATTGTGAATGTAACTCAGTGAAGCCTCATGACATGAGCAGAAAAAGATGTCTGTATGGGAAGAGCTAATATTTATGACAAAAATAACATATAAAAATTGGTTGAAGCTCATTATACTGTTAATCATTTTAAATCTACCAGGATATTATAAATCTTCATTATAAATTTCATTAAAACATATATTTTTCCCTATTTTACATGTGGGCTCAATTTCAGTAAAGCCTGTACTTCATTAAAATATCAAGTCATTCTAATACACCTGCTAAACATTTTCAAATGCTACACTAGAAATGTGGGAACACCCTCTTAACCTTTTCCAGCCAGGTATCTTGTATTTTTTACAAGTGTACATGACAACATTTACGTTCTCAAAAACGTTTTGTTTGTTCCAGGATTGGTACACCTTGACAAGTTAAGTGCTAATAATAAAATAATGTTTGTAACATTCAGATCCTTTATAAACCTAATGATATAGGCTAATGTTTTAAAATAAATTCAAGCATAAGACTCTAGGAGACACAAAAAATGAGATTGAAGATAAACAAAGTTTAAATCATTATTCTGAGAAAAATTACTTGGTTTTAATTGTGAAACATCATCATATTGTGACAGTTTAATTATTAGAAAATTCTAGACATCTGGCTTCCATTACACCTGTAAGTTTGTTTTATTGAATTATTCTATGAATGATGTGAAGATACATAATTTATGAAATAAATCACAGCATTATTGGAAATTGTCTACAGTGACAATATCTATTGTTAGCTACAGTAATCACAAGGCACTTCTGCCAAAGCTCAACTTTTTGTATAAATAAGAAAAACAAAACGTTAACATAATTTTGAGCTTGGTTGGTACAATAAATAGTAGTTCTTGAAACTGTTTTGAAAGAAGGTATTTTTTTTACCAGATCTATGCATGTTTAAATATCATGACCACTTCTCACAGAAAAGATATTACAAATGTTATGATAAAAACTTATACGGCCTTGTTAAAGTTTACAGGTTACTTAAGAGTAAATTTAGAATATGTGGATTACATTATGCTGAACTGTTTTTTTTCTACAACATGAACATTATTTAGGTAATGTTATTTACAAAAAAATTTTGTCATAAAAATAAATTTTCATTTTTTACAGTCTAAAAAATAACAGAACAAAACAGTTTAGGTATAGCTATTAGCTTTATGAGATGGTGCAATCAATACCAAACTCGGTAAAAAAATAAGTGATTAACATAACTCAGTACCATCAGAAATTATTTTGATTACAAATGATTTATATACCTCAATATCATCAAATGACATTTTGATTATGATTGATTTACAAAGTTCAGTACCAACAAACTTCATTTTCATTATGAATGGTTACATACCTCAATACTATCAAACTTCATTCTGGTTGAGTGTGGTTTAAAATACTTCAATACCAACAAATGTCATTTTGATTTATGAGTAATTTATATACCCCAATACCATCAAATGTCATTTTGATTGAGTAATTTACAAATTTCAAATCATCAAACTTTTGAGTAATTTACACACCTCAAGTCATCAAACTTGCGAGTAATTTACATAGCTCAATATCATCAGCTGTCATTTTATTTATGAATTATTTACTTACCTTAAAACCATGAAACTTTAGTGATTATGAATAATTTATATAGCTCAATACATCAAACTTCACTGATTATGAGTTGTTTACCTACCTCAATTCCATCAAATGTCATTTTAATTACAGGAACGTAAGCTTCTTCAACTGCCTGAAAAAGACATACAATTTTTTGATTCATATTCCTGTCATAAAAATTGACAGGGCAGTGTGCAATTAATTCAGTGTGAAAAAGCATAAGACTTTTATTGCTAGCAATTCAGAGCTTATCAACGTTATACAGACAGTTTGATAATAAACCACCATTAAAGTGTTGTATCAATACAAATAGGTACTGTGTAATCTCATGTTTATCAAACATATATTCCCAGCTTCTCCTATTATTGTACCTATATAGATGCATCCTTTTCATTTTAACTATAAACCTGTTCTAATGCTATAACTAATTTCAATATTCAAATACATACATTAACTGCATTAATGGTTCTCTATGTATAATCAGTTGGCCAATCTCCATGTAAAGAAAATACATCACTATGTCTAGTTAACTCTTTCAACCAAAGCTCGGTCCTTGGGACCGACCTTGTAATCATTTTGTGCTTGTTATAGTTTTCATGCTATAACTTTTAAATTAGTAAGCAAATGTTAAAAAAATTTGGAAGTTCATCAGTAAACATTACAATGCTTTCATACGCAATACATCTAATTGTTTTATTAAGTCTTAAGGTTTGTAAAGCAATTTTTCTCTCTTGCCTTTTTTTTTTCATTTCACATCTTGCCTATCTATCATACTATCTATCTATCAGTAATTTTCATCTTAACATTAAAAATACTTTTGTACATCAGAAACTTTCGAAATTTCACATGCAAAATCTTTATAATGTCCAAATAGTTATTAAATGTTTCTTAAGAAAAAACTTTATATTTTATCTGTTATTTTCAGTACGGGTTCCGTAGATTTGACCAATCACTCAAACACCATACAAAATTAGGAAATAAACATAAATTATGCCTCTTTCATTCTAGAATGAACACAAATTATAACACAAAAACATAAATGTTTAGACGAAATAGCTTAAATCTCATAACATTATATATTTATATATATATATTTATTATCTTTATTATATTGACCTTTCACCATTGTCTGGCTAACAATACAGAAGTTACAATCATGCAGCTCACGTGCACTCATGTTACCGTATCAAATAACATAAATGTGACCTTTGGTCTGTATAAAGTAACTTGTCTTGGCTTTGTTTTAGTAGAATAGTATTTTGTAAAATAAAGTCACATTTCAATTATTATATGTAATATATGTATATAGATTATTGCTATTTTGAAACAAGTTCTAAAAGTTATTTTTCCTAAAACATAGAACAGTAAATAAAGAAGTAAAGCAAACAATTATCTCTTCTAGTTACGACCTTTGTACTCGGTTGCTGCTTGATGCAGGCTGTTAAGCCTTCAAAAATTTCGTATGTGGAGGACATGAAACAAAATATTTTTTTAAGGTTTTATATATACTTTTGAATGACTAAAAAATCATAAATTACTACATCAATACCATAAAATTCAACTATAATTTACCAAGCTTAGTAACTAAGATGTATTTTACTAAAAAAAAAAATGAAATTTTGAGCAGACTAAAGACACAACCTACCTCATTGAAATCTTGATTTAAAAGAAAGAAATGATGCTAGGTACGTTAGAAAGGCTTAGAAAACCACTAGGGGGGGACATTCTGAGCTTCTGATTGGTTATTCATGTAATATACAGATGTAAGTGTAAATAAGGGAGCATTTCCAAAAACAGAAAGAGGTGGGCGAGGTGCCACTGTGTTTGATTTATTATGTGAGCAATATCTTAGCAAACAGAAAAGATAAAACCTTCTTATTTTATATTCTAGCTTGTCAATATCTGTAATTTAAGTTTCTAATTCATATGAAACTATAGATTTAGTATTTTGACTTCACAAACATCTAATTTGAACCAGTGCCGCATTCAACATACCACGTGATACACAAAAATCTATGTTTATCTGTGTTTTTAATATTTACTTTTAAATTAACAAATTGAGT